TTATAGAATATAGACTTCTTGAGCGATCTAAAAAGCAAAATGAATACTTTTGTATCCAGGGTACCAAAAAAGTGTCCCAGAACTCCCAATTTCGCCCTACTCTATCTGCTAACTTTCTTAGAGTTTATTACTCATCGTGGAGGCCAGGCACTTGTCGTTTAGAAATAGTTCTTATATGCTATTTGCCGACAAGCTTAGAGTTTATCACTTATCTGAAAAAATAAGGAGAGTACCAGTGCCTTTCTATGGATTCAGTGTGTTGAGTAAAGAAAATACACACTTTTTTATTAAACAAAACAAAGTGGTTTTATTTCTTTTCTCTGCCACCTTACCACTCTTCCAAAATTTTCCACAAAAGTAGGCAAAACAGCTTACCCTCTCCAAAAGATTGGCATTGTTTACATCTCCCAAATCTAGACAGTTCCGGCAAACTGTGATCACGTATCTGGTTTGTTTTGTTTATAAACCATGCTGCTTCACATAATATCGAGATTGGCCACTTATATCATTTAGGAGTCTGGATAATTTAGTCGGAAAATTTATTCAATAAGGCGAAGCTTTATACTAGAGATATACAAATATTGTATTTGTTATATAATTTTTTTCAGTCTAGCATGGGTAATAGTAGTGCTAAAAAGACAGAATTTTTTGCTATCCTTTTTGTTTTCTTTTCTTTGTAATTTTTTTTTATATTCTCTTTTATATTTGTTTTTTTTCTATATTTTTTTTTGTTGTTTCTTTTTCTCTTTTGTTTTGTTATTTTCGTTTTATTTGTATGTTTTGTTTTATTACTCCCATTTGTTGTATACCTCTTTGAAAAAGGAAAAATGTTAAGAAAAAAGCAATTTTAACAAAGCTAGCAATAAGCTTTCAGTAATTTTTTTGAAGAGTTATTTAGTAAGTTAGATGCCGGAGAGGAGTAAATTATTGCTACAGAAGATCACACTTGGGCACCATTACGAGCAGCCGAGTGAGTTTTTATTGAAGAGTAGGAGGGTAGAAGACATTGAGTTTATTGCAGGCTTGTTGTTCGAAAACCATGTATTTAGATTACGCACTTCTGATACAATAAAGGCAGGATTGCCAAATTTAAAAAAAAAAAAGTAATTATACTAACTAATTTTTTAAAATTACTATTTTCAGTTTTGTATAACATTACACAAAATTTTATAATCTAATTATCTCAAAAAGTATAGCATAAAATTTTGTAATCTTTTTTTTTTAAAAGAAGTAGATTTAAAAACTTTATATTTTAATTTTTAGATTTTTATCTTATATATTTAGCTTTATACAAATTTTTAAAAAATGTCTACAATAATATAATAGGCCACTGTAGTTATCATAACTCTAGTATAAATATTATTTTTTTATTTAATTGCTGATCTGAATAAGATTGGCCCAATTTTTATATTAGTATTTGGGGCAAATTTTCTATAATATTAATTATATGCTGAAATCTAAACAGAGTTAAATGAAAAGTATTTTTTTTTATTAAGTTAACAACTAAAGTAAATTAATTAAAAGTTGTAGAGCTTACTGAGATGCATCTAATGGTGGTTAAGTTGTCCAAATTGGCCTAGTGGATACTGAGATACTACTAACAAACGATTAGCTAACTATATAAAATTTCTACTTTGTTTACACTGAATTTTATATAGTCAACCAATCATTTTTAGTAATATTTCAGTATCTATTTGGCTAATTTGGACGATCTAACTATCATTAAATACGTCTCAGTAAGCTTTACAACTTTTAATTAATTGACTTTAGTTATTAACTTAATAAAAAAAAATACTTTTCATTTAACTCTGCTCAGATTTCAGTATATAATAAAAATTTATATTGTACTTATTCCAAAAATTTTTTTTTTTTTTGATATTAAGGTGATCTACATTGGCCTGAAAAACTTTTTATTAGAGTATAGATGAAGTTTTATATATAATTACAATGATAGTACATCAAGTCACACATGTATCTTTTGAGTATCTAATTTAAGAAATCCACCCAAAAGTTCTATACTATATGCTGTACCTGCACCCCAACTATCTGGTTCTAACTACCTCCATCTGCCCTCTAACCCAATGGGTTTACCTCACCATTCATGTGTTAGATTTTGAATATCACCCAATCTAGATTTCGCTTTCTACCTTAGAACTTACTAACCCATATAGACCTAGTCTATCCTTACTTATCCCCAAAATTTACTATTGTCCCAATATAGTAATTATGCCGATCTTATCTGGATCATCAATTAATAAAATTGACTAAGATGCTTAACACCAGTGTTGGAATTGGACATATATGCCCAATAAAGTCCAATAAAAATTTTATTATGTCTAACTAGCCCAATTGCCAATACTGCTTAATACTCTAAGTTTATAGGTTGGAATCGAATATTCGATTTATTGAATATTCGAATTAATTCAATTAATTCATATAAAAATATGAATTTGAATTGATTCGAATAAATTCAAATACTGTAATGATTTATTTTAATTATACTCCTTATATGATTATGCGTGATTATGCATGATTATGCACGATTATGCATAATTATGTAAGGAGTTTATACAAAATTAAAATAAATTCGAAATTATTCGAACTAATTTAAATCAATTCAAATTCATCTTAAATAAATTCGAATTTAAAAAGTAAATTCAATTCCAACCTCTACCCTAAGGACTAGGTATGTATATACGTAGAATGAATCGAAGATACTTTTTTTTTTTAAAAAAAACTTTACTACATTAGGGCGTAAAGATGAAATAAGGTTTTCACACATTAGTACCAAGTTAAGGAAGTAACCATTTAAATGACTTAATAAAGGTTACAGGCACCTTAAAAAAAATATATAAAAAAATAATAATACCATATTCGATACGATATTACATCCTGCAGGTTACAAATAACATTTGAGGTCATTCGAGTTTGTCGGATAAATATAAGTTAAAATCCGTAACAGGTAATATGAATCGCTCTGGTAGGTTTGGGTTGTGTGTACAAAGGCTGTATAATAAATAAAATTCGGCAAATTCCGATTAGGCTCGTTGCCATATTTTTCTTCTATTCTCTTCCTTCCCTCTCATTCTCACAATTTATATTACCATCTATCATCATTCTTCCTTTTTTTCGCTATTATACGTAATTTTATTTTTAATATTTGCTTGACATATAAAAATCATTTGCTAAAATATGGCGAAATGGCTCGATAGTGCTATTGATAAAGGGGACATTGAATATTGTGACTATACTAAATTCACTGCTCGTGAAAAAATTGGTAAAGGGGCATTCGGAGTTGTTTATCGATCAGAATGGAAAGACCGCGGATTAACCATTGCTCTTAAAAGTTTAAACTTACCTTCTTTGAATGAAGAGAAAGAGAAGTCCATACAAAGATTTGTTAAAGAGGTACGTACGTAAGTGATTATCGTTATGGGAAAGGTAAAATTTTGATAAGATCTACAAAATAAAAATTGGGTTTGGGTCAAAATCCGACAAACAAAATCTCGGCAAGGTCAAAAATCCTGAAAGGTTAGCCCGTATTAGGCTATGATTCCAGTCAATTTTTGTCGAGATTTTGTTCGTGTTTGTGTTTGGAATTTTGACCCAAACCCTTTTTGTAGCATTTAGCCCTTAATATTTATTATAACTAGCACCTATTGAAATATTGTGTCAGGGTTACTGTACGATTCCGAAAGAACATAATACTAATTATTTCGAAAATGGCTTTTAAAACTTGAGTACATTAATGTATTAGTATTAAAAAAAAAAAAAAAAAAGTCTAATAATTAGCAATTTGTAGTAGCATTTTATTTATTTGCGTTATTGTAACTATGATATCAATAAAATGAATTTAAAATATTTCAAATGTTCGTGTTAATTATTTTTAAACAAAAATAAAATTGCAGCCAGAATATAATTAAGGAATTTTGAAACAGAGTTGGGTATTTTTTAGAATTACAAGCTTATAAACATAGGTCTCAGCAAAATTTTATTCTCTTGAGAATAAAGCAAAAGACTTTATAAAATTTTCGTGGTTGTGTTAAAAGCACTTATTTTCGTTAATTTCGATTTTTTTTTTTTTACTACAGTAGCAGAAATAATTTTGAAAGTGCATAAACTTTCGCTTAATAATTATTTTGAATTTTTTTTTTTTGAAAAACACGATGTTTTATTTTGCGGCTGCGCTAAGGTGGCATGATCTAGTTTACCCAATTGAAGACAACTGGTGGGGGGAATTAAGGCTCCCCCAATGTACTATGTAAATCAAATACGTACTCATATAAAAGTCGAATATATACGATGATCTATAGTAAAATACCATAATTCGAACAAAAATATATTTTAATTTATTGAAATAATCTGTTTGTCACTGGTGATGACAGCAACCGGATTTTATTTATAGTTGGGTTGAAAGGTCATAATATCTGATATATAATAAAATTACGCAATGAATATTTTTTAAGACAGAAGTTGATTTATAAGCATAATTTTGTTATTTTGATTTAAAATTTGAGATTTTTGTAATCACCCATATTTTTATTAACGTTAACGATTAACGATGATCAAATCACGTACGTACTAGAGTTGCAGGTGAAATTAATTAATTTCACCAGTTTCACCTGGTGCATCATCGGTGCACCGTTGAAGATTAGCTTCATCTATAACTCTAGTTTTACCATCGGTGCAGTACGTACGTTGTGAGGGGCTCCGGAGAGCCTAGTTTTCTATTTTTAGTATTATCTTATTTCAGTTGTTAGTAGTTTATTACTATTCTAGTTGAGTATAGGGATTTTTAGTTAGTACGAAGTAGTCATAGAAAATCATTACATTATTTTTAAAGTACACTTCGTTATATGTGCCATTTATGGCCTTTATTCCTTTTATGGCATTAATGACAGAAATGGAATTAATTCCATTAATTCCATTAATGGCACTTCGGGAATTAATGCCATTTCGCTACGAAGTTCAATCTTAAAACCTGCATTGATATAAGCATGTAAAACTATAAAAGCGACTCTTCTTCGCTTCAATTAGTGTTCATCATTTTACGTTATAACTCATAAACATTCATTCTCGTAATTCCCCGATAATAAACTATCTTATAAACCCGTGACTCCGCAGTAGATCTTCGTGACGAAGTATTGAGCTCTATTTGGCCCTAATAACTCGGACCAAGTCTCTACACGCTTCTTTCCGCCTTCCAACATTAGGGTTCGAATAGAGTTTAGACGTTGTAGTGTTGTTTTGGAGTAGATTAGTGTTAGTTGATATCCGAAGCGCTGATTTTCCCAAGTCCGACCAAGTTTACACTTTTTCAACGTTCGTAAAGTTTCTTTGTGATTGAAAACTTCCACAATGTGCTTCTTCAACCGCCCTGTACTCTGAATATTTTCTATTTTTTTTTTTTTTTTTGTGAATTGAAGAAATATGAATACAGTTAATTCTCTCTATTTAGAACTATTATAATTTTTAAAATTTTTTAGTTAGTCCATTATAAAAAGGTTCATTATAAAGAGAGTTGACCGTCTTAATATGTAAATATAGTATATTACAGTAATTTCGGGAAGTATTTAAGATTAACAAAGCTTATAAAATTTTGTTTTAAAAGTGAAACTCCTTTAACAATAAAGAACACTATTATTATTATTTTTTAAAGTTAAGATTCAGCGTAGAATATAAAAGAGCTTTTCCATTTAAAGAATTTTTTTACTACGTGTTTATAAGCTAACATATTGTGTTTATTGAGATTTATTGTAATACTTTTAGGTTAAATGTTTTTTTTGTACTCGTATTATGTTAAGTTGTCATCACTCTGGCCTGTAAAAATTTTGAAATTTATAATTATAAAAAGCATTCTTTGGAATTCAAACCGATAATATTAAAAGTTAAAAGTTATGATAAAAATGAAGGAAACGTACTTTTTTAAAAACATCAACATTTTATTCGAGTAGAATAACGTTAGGTGTTTTCGTTTTATTAAAGCTTATAATTTTAATGTTTGTTACAGTATTAATTGCGCAAATTACTTGAGCTGATTAATGCGCCACCAACCTGGCACACATTTAAGAATTGAAACTCTTTTTTTTCAGAGGCATTAAACCGCCGTAATCTCATGTCAAGTTAAACCATTTGTTTTTACCAATTAAAATTGCTCTCCGTCCATCCGACTGATTGATTAAAGCGCTTGAAACATATCTGAATTTGATTGCTATAGTGTCCAGATTTGATTGCTGCTATGTCTGAATTTGACTACTTTTTTGCGTGAAAAATCAATAGGGAAACTATAATATCGGAAAAAAGAATATGTTGGTGAAATATTTGTCAGGAAGATGCTAACAGGAAAAATTGATGAAATAATAATTTTCGGGAAATGATATCATCGGAGAATGGTGTCATGGATAGGCGTCGGGAAATGAGGGTTAGAGGAATCATATAATTCCATTAATAAGAACGCGCAAATATTATTTTCTCTTGAACGTTAAATTACGGCGGATTTGTAAAATACCCCAAAATTTGAAAAAATTTGACTACTGATTCTAATTGACACGCATATGATAGACTATTTTGATCATATATAATTATTATATTGTATGTTCGTACAGTGCATATCAAATATGTAAAATATGTAATGAAAAATTTAAAATGTGTTATCTGAATTGTACAGAAACGTAAACGTAAAATGGGTTCTCTGAATTGTGTAGAAATAAAATGGGTTATCTGAATTATACAGAAACGTAAATGGGTTCACTCAATTGTACAGAAATTTAAAATGAGTTATCCGAATTGTACAGGGATTTAAAATAGGTTCCGGGTTGGTGAAAAGTAACTGGACAGTGACCTTTTTTTAACCAATATGATTATCAATTTAACGTTTCAATAAATAACAATTTTTATCAATTTATTGCAATGATTACTAAACGTTAAAATGATAATCATAGTGATTAAAAAAAGGTCACTGTCCAGTTACTTTTCACCAACCCGGTATAAGTTACGTATTACGTTATCAGATTTATTACGTTATATTATCATGCTTAATAGTCTATTTATTTATTTATCATATAATTCTGTAATTATTACGTTAGTTTTCATTTTATTTATCGTGCTTATTAATATATTTCATTTATCATATCGATATTTAATTATTAATGATCGAAATTCCGATTAAATTTTTACAGGGGATTTATTGGTCAAAATAGATTTATATAATTCAGGGGTGGGAGCCGGACATCGACCCAAATTAGTAGACCATAGAAAGGACTTACACTCCGTTTCCCTCCGCTCCAGCCCAATTATGCAACACTTGACAACCCACCAGCAATAACCATCTCTACAGATTTTTGATAATAAATGTATGCCTTATACTCATCCTTTTCAACCCCAACTCCATGGAGATAACAATTTCCAACTTCTCTTATTCCATTAGTGTTTCCCATATTTGCAGATTTTTGATAATAAATGAATGCCTTATGATCATCTTTTTCAACTCCAATTTCATGATGATAACAATATCCAACTAAATAAATTCCATCAGTATCTCCCATCTCTGCAGATTTTTGAAAATAGATAAATGCTTTATATTCGTCCTTTTCAACTCCAGTTCCATCTAAATAACAACATCCAACATTATATACAGCACTAGCGTACCCCATTTCTGCAGATTTTTGATAATAAATGAATGCCTTATGTTCGTCCTTTTCAACTCCAGTTCTATCATCCAACATTATACACCGCTACAGAGTATCCCATCTCAGCAGATTTTTGATAATAAATGAATGCCTTATGCTCATCCTTTTCAATTCCAATTCCATTTCGATAACAATATCCAACACTATTTGTTCCAATAGCGCTACCCATCTCTGCGGATTTTTGATAATAAATAAATGCCTTATGTTCATCTTTTTTAATCCATTTACCAAATTGATAACAATTTGCAAGAATAATTTGAACCGTAGGATTGATTTGATTATCTAAACAAAAATTGATGATATTAAATGGATTTTGCCTCTTCTTTATCAAAAATTCTTCTAACGAATCAAGAACTAAACGGGGATTTATGCCTTTCAATTTTTCTTCATTATACAGATTACATATTTCATTAATAATTTTATTAAGAAAATCCTGTGAAAAATCTTGCGAATTATTATCTTCTAAATACAATTGAGAAAGATCGTTTGTTATTTGGGTAATATCTGTTGAACGGTCGATTTTTTTTGATTGCTTTCCAAATAAGTTATTATAAATTGACATTTTTAACGTAAGAAAGGATGAAACATCAAATTTATTGAAAATGTGTACGTATGTATTACATTGAACCACATACATATTGTAACACTATCAACAAATTAGGAAGTTAGTTGGACAAATAGTACACATGTCATACGTACGTCGTCAAATCTAGTACGTACCTATCCTAACATATCTCAGTATTTCAATTTGACGTACGTTGAGAAGGACTAAATTAATCCGGGATTGGAAGAATTTGGGTAATACAGGCCTTAAACTATAATAATAATCTAAACTAGCTACTAAACTAACTAATTTAACAAACTATACTAATCCAAATAATCG